CACACACACACACACACAGAGCTTTCCTCCAGAGGGCAAGCAGGGCCCCTCCGGGTGGGACAACCCGGCCTCTTCACAGGGGCGGCTGCAGGGGGGGGGGGGGGGGGGCGGCTTCCCTTACCAGCAGGAGGCTCTGGACGTGGTCAGCCCCAATCTTGTCAATATTGCTGACCACCGGACCCTCCAGGACGCTGCGGACACGCTCCCCCTCCACCTGCAGCCGTGGCAGGATGAGGGTCTTGATCACCTGGAGAGGAGAGAGCAGAAGCAGCCTCTGGGCCTCTGGCCAAGCTGGGCCCAGGGGACCCCCCGTCCCGTCCCAGCTCCCCCCGGGCGGCCACTCACGTCAGGCCCCAGCTCCGCCAGGCCAGCGATGGACCCGTAGCGCGTGGTCCAGGGCGTCTTCTCGTCCACCCAGCTCTGGGGGCCAAAGGGAGGGAGAGGGGCGTGAGGAGCGGAAGGAGAGCCGGGGCGGCCAGCCCCCCCCCCCCCCCCCCCGCCCCCCCCCGGCCCTCACCTTGGTGAAGGTTTTGGTGATGCGGGACTGGATGTTGTTCGTGGTGGTGCTGAAGTTCTTGCAGATCTGGGCGATGAGCCGAGCGGCGAAGTCTCGCAGGGCCCAGTGGTTGTCCACATCTGGCCTGAGGCACAGCTGGCGGCTGACGATGCAGGTCATGACCGCCGGGATGACCTCGTGCAGCTGCAGCAACCAGTGGGACCGTCAACGCCCGCCCCCTGCCCCCACCCCCGCCCCTCCCTGCCAGGGGGGCTCGGCCGCTCACGTATTTCTCCAGGTAGAGGGTTGGGTTGTCCATCAGCGCCTTGACCATCCGCATGAGGTAGATCAGCAGAGCCAGGTTGTTCTGCACCACATTGACCCGCACCTGGAGGGCAGGGAGGGGGCCGCGGGGTCAGTTCCCTGGGAGAGGCTGCTCCACGTCCACTTTCCCCAAGCAGAGGCCTCTCCCCCCCCGGTGGGGGAGGCCGAGGAGCTGGCCAGGCTCCTCCCAGGACAGCCCCAAGGCCCCATCCAGCACTGGTGCGGGATCCTCCTCAGGGGCTCCAAGCTGCCTGGATGCCGGTTGCTGGGCCGGACAGGAGATGGGGGTGAATTCTGAAAAGGAACAGGCCTAACCCCCAACACAGGTGGGCCCATGGTTCC